AACCCAAGGCCTTTGGGAATGTGGGCTAGCTCACAGAAGGCCAGCTTCCTACCCAAGCGGCAGTGCTCAGGGTTAAGTACCTTCTCTGATGCTGAACAGAAAGGCCTGGTCTTTGTCTCAGTCTAGGAGACCCTAGAGAGGCCATCCCAGCTCCAGACCTGGTAAAGCAGGCCTCAGCTGATGCCACATAGGGGTCAGTGGAGTCTTCCTCTTCTTCTTGTTCTCTTCCTCCTCCCCCTCCTCCTCTTCTTCCTCCTCTTCCTCCTCCCCCTCCTCTTCCTCCTCCTCCCCACTTCACCTCCCCCCCTCCTCCTCCTCTTCCTCCTCCTCTTCCTCCTCCTCCCCCTCCCCTCCTGCTCCTCCTCCTCTTCCTCCTCTTCACTCTCTGGCTCTTCCAGTGTCACCTCCATACAGATGCCTCTCCCCCTCACTCCTCCCCCCTCACTCCTCCCTCTCCCCCCTCCCCCTTATAGGTACCTCCCCCAGCACGCCCTAAGCCACTATCTGCACAGTTCTCCTTAGAATCACAAGTGCAGGGAACCATTCTGCACTTGTGAGTATGGATAATTACAACAGTGACCTTGAACTTGAAGGGCCCTCAAACACCCAGAAGGCTTGTTAAGATACAGACTTGTTAAGATACAGGCCCACCAGAGAGATCTGGCCTAAGGGGTCTAGGGTGGGCCAGGGAGTTAGTGTTCTAACAAGCTCCCAGGTCTAATGAGGCAGCTGGTCCAGGCAGGGCTGGGCAGGGTGTGCGTTCAGGATCGCTGCTTGGGCAGCTCGTTATTGCTTCCCTCTTCCTGCCCATCTTCGCTCCTGATTGAAATAGTAGAACTTATTATAAAGCAAATTAGCTTTCTTTCTGTAAAATGATCTTAGTGTATACAAGTGGACTTGGATATTACTCCCTCCATTGAACTTAATCAGTTCTTGACTCAAAAATATGCAATGGGGATGGGGAGATGGCTCAGTGGATAGGAGCACTTGTTATGCAGATGGTGAGGACCTGAGTTCAAATCCCCAACCCATGTAAAAGCCAGACATGGTTTCATGTCTTGTAACTACAGCAGTGGGCAGGTGGGCGGGTAGAGGCAGGCAGATCCCAGGAGCTCCCTGACCAGCTAGCCTACTCCAGACAGTTTTAGGTTCAGTGAGAGACTCTGCCTCTAAATAATACATACATACGTACGTACATACATACATACATACATAATAAATAGAACAATAAAATAATAAGGTAGAGAACACTAGAGTAAGACACACATCTTCCCTAGGCTACACGCACATGCGTGCGCACACATACATACACACACACACACACACACACACACACACACAAAAAAAAAAAAGTCTGGAAAGGCCAGGGCTGGAGAGATGGCTCAGTGGTTAAGAGCACTGGTTGTCCTTGCAGAAGAGCCAGGTTTGAATCCAAGCACCCACATGGTGGCTAACAACTGTCCTTAACTCCAGTTGCACCCTCTTCTGTCCTCCATGGGCATTGCATGACACTGATGCACTTACACACCTGCAGGCATAACAGTCATAAAATAAAAAATAAATAAATTTTAAAAAATTGGAAAGAGAATAATCACATCCC